CCACCCTCGGCTTATATTCGGGTCAATACTTTTTCCCAGTTTTTTTGGCTAAAATTAGGTACCTCGGCTTATACTCGAGTATATACGGTAAATGACACATGCAGACACTGTTAAACCTGACCTGGGCAGCCAGGCATCAACTGCCACGAGTCACAAAAAGATTTTTAAAAAAGTGGAAAAAGACCCTTTAAGTCCACCCTCTGCCTATGATGCATGCAGCAGCTTAAGAAACGCCACTCTGTCCAGTGTTCTTTCTTCATACATTCACTGTGATGTGGCCCAAAGTGCCCGATCTATACAACTCCCTGTTGTATCTGCCCACCGCCTGTGCAACTTCACTTCTGTCCTCTTCACTCCTTTCCCCTCCCCGCCCTCAGGCCACTAGGTTCCTACAAAATGTTTAAACAGTCTCCAAAAAAATGGCTGCTAAAAAGAGAATAATTGAGGAGGGAAGAGAGGGTGGTGGGTGGGTTGTATCACTGGAAGCATCTCCAAAGTAGAGCTGGTTTGGAAACAAGGATGTGTATCCAATAGGGATGCGCAAATACAATTTTTTCAATATTAAGTACCTATATCCCCCCCCCCCTCCCCCCCGGTACTCGCCGATACTGGATAGCGAGTACCAGAAGCCCCATTAAGGAAGCCGGGCAGCGTCTAATGACTCGCTGCCCTGCTTCCTGATACCGGAACTCCCCCAAATACTCGATATCTGTGCATCCCTAGTATCCAATACAGTCAGATGTTGGTAAATATAAAAGGAGAGATGAAAATCCGTTTGCAACCAGTGTTCCCAATATTAGTAAGATTTAAACTTCCTGGTGAACAGATTCTGTGTACACCGACAAACTACCACTGCAAATATGGATATTTCTAGCAAAGACTTTGATTAACATTAGATATAGAAGCAGAATATTCTAAAGTGAGACAGGAAAATATTCATCCCTGCTGTAGGTTTACAACATTCCAATATATATATATATATATTTAACAGACCAAAAGGGAGCAGCAAGTAAGAGAAGTTATTTGTCGGGGTTTATGTACGTGTTACAGTTTAGAATTCACAGTAGTAATTTTTTGGTTCTGGAACAAGGTTAATATATATATATATATGAGTCAAAAACGGACTATAGCCTTGCAATTTATGTTAACATTTTTTGGGGACAGATAGAGCTTTCTTTTGGAGGTATATAATCATCACGGGGGGGTGTTATTTTTTTTACTACATAATGAAAAAA